TTATTTTTTTTAATGTGAGATGTTTAGTAGTTTCAATAATTTATAATCATTTTTTAAAAAATGACATATTTCAAAATTAAAATATTAACTTTTCAATATATGTTGAAGACAATCAAAATATAAGCATGTATTTTCATACGATTTATAGTTTAATTAAAACGATATGAAATATATATATATATAAACTAAAATTATTTCTTCATATGGTCTTATAATCATTATATTTTAATATAGAAAACTAATTAAAACCTTGATCCTAAAAGTTTATGTGAGACTTTTAACAGTTTTAGTAATTTATACTCATTTTGAAAAATTCGAAATACAACATACACAAAAAAAATCTAGATTTTTATTATATGATTAATGTAATTGTGTAATTTATTTTAATAATAAATAAATAAACAAAATGAGAAAAAATATATAGATTGTTATCAAATCTTTATTGTTTAAAATCATTAATTGTCATATATATCTTAATCAGATTAGGTAATTCCGTATTTTTATTTAAGGAAAGCATGCGAAACAATAAATATTTGATATATGTGACCAACTATAGTCTACGGAATATTATATTGCTAGAGAATATAATTTTTAGACTATACATTATATCATATGCTCTAGAATCCTTGAGATTTGAAATAGAAGCCAAATAGCTATACCACATAGGATTGAAATTATTTTTAATTCTTACAAACTTAAGGTTACAACTTTTAAATGATTCTCAAATAATATAGAGGAGATTAGATTGTTTTAAGAAGCATAATACAAATCGTTCGATAGGCTGTAGGTTATATTTATAGAAATTTATCAAAATAAAACAATAATTTAAAAAGTCAACCGGCGATGAGTGCTGACTCATGACTCCTTGACAGAGTTAGTCTTCGGTCCAAAGACCTCTCTAGACACTTCTCCGAATCAAGAATCATAGATTCTATCTCACCACCAGTTGACAATTATCTATATGTCTTATACCTTATATATATCCGATGGCGCCTTCTATTTCTACCGATGCGGGATGTAGTAATAACTATTGAGCCCTTTCTTTCAAAAACACACGTAAAAAGTCCATTACTTTGGTAGAGATAAGCCCAATCTCTTTACTATTATTTGCGAAGTGATTTTTCGCAACGGAGTTCTCACGTTAAAAGTTGGAGCGGTTAATATCGTTTATACCCTTAATGAATAAATACTATGAATTAATTAAATATAAAAACGAATTTAAATTTATTTAATTAGATAGTTATTTTAAATAATAACAATAAGAGTTATCCAAAATCTAAAAATATATTTTATTTTTAAAAGATAATTTCTATATGTATTGTATTGTTATCCGAAAACTATCTTTTGATAAATATTTAAAAATTCAAAAGCAGAAAACAAACAATTACATATTAATTAATTAAAATTCTTAATTTTATATAAGTGAAAAGATAATATTGAATAATTTTTAATATAAATAAAAATTTCAAAATGAAAACACAAATAATAATTTATGCTTCTAATTTTTTATTATTAATATTTACAAACAAATAATTATAAAAGGTTTAAGTCCACATGGCGGGCAAAACACCTAGTTTGATGTATATAAACGAGACATATACAAGTTAAATTTATTTGTATACGCTTAAATGATTAATAATTAGGAAAATACTAAAACTATAAGAAATAATTAATTATAAATATTAAACTGCTTTGAGAAAACAAAAATAAAATTAGAAGGAATATTACCAGTTCTTTTTCTTATGTTGACACCTAGTATTGAACATATACATATGGAATTAGACGTAGAGAGTATCTAGACTTTAAGGGGTTATAACACCAATACATGATACATCTAATTAGCCTAAGCGTTGATAAAATTCAGAAATGTAATACTCCAAACAAAACATGATTTTTTTTTATTTTTAAAATTTCATCTTTACACATAGCTATTAGAAAGCTGCCCCTGACTTCCGAAAGGCTATGTTTTGGAATTTTTCATGGGTAGCTCAATGGGATCCAAACTTATTATCACATTTTTCCAGTGTCGTACGAAATTGTTTGTCTTTATTGAAATATCATAAAGCTTTTTTTTTTTAACACCGAAATATCATAAAGCAATAATTCATTTTTCTTTTTCATTAAAAATGAAAAAGTTAGAGAATATATACTTTGTTTAGATCAAAAAAAGAGAGAATATATACTTTGTAATTCACATATGATAGCAGGCCCATCTTCTTCATATTCTAACACATTATCGTAGGGCCTATCTTGTCTGATAAAATCAAAACACAGTAAGACCGAACTTTTCCCGCGCCGAGAGAAACCAATTTCCATCTCTGACTCTGCTTTCAATATAACTTTCGTTTCCGTTTTGTTTTTGTTTTTGTTTTTTTTCATGTAAGGAAATAAATGAAAATTCGATTCAGTATCAGCACTCTTCTTTCTTTCATGTGTACTACAATGCAACTATTTGATAAACTTTACTTTCTTCAGAAACTTCGAATTATGAAAACAGAGCCCATGATCACTGTTACAGCTGCAAGAAAACAAAAGTGAGTAACAGAGGTAGAAACAACTCTGATCGTGCTTACGAGTCGATTTAATCTGATTTTTTTTGACGAACAACACAACACAACTCAAACATCTCTTATATATTAATCCTGAAGCATTCATAAATGCACAACCTTGGAGAGCATGCTTACGTGTCAAGTTCACAGAGCTTCTCAGCTTTAATTTTTTAATGTACCAACTTTGCTAGGAATGAAATAATGTAACATTTAATTTCTTGCATTTAGAACTATAATATATAGACATTTTTAAGGGACCAACTCTGCTAGGTATAAAACAATATATTTTATTTCCTTAAATAAAAGCTACGGAATTACCTAATATGATTAACATATATATGTAATTAATGATTATGAATAATACATTTTTTGTATCCTCTCTTTTTTGTTTAATTTTAAATTATTAAAATAAACTAAACAATCACATTTAAATATATAATCAAAAATTAAAATTTTTTATAGGTTATATTTTTAACTTTTCTTAAAACGACCATAAATAACTAAAAATAGTAAAATCCCACATTGAAAATTTTATGATCAATGGTTTAACTTTGTTTTTTTTCAAAGAAGATAGAAATTATCATAAATCGTAAGAATATGAAGTATCATTAGTAGATATTCATACTATAAATATGTTAATTTAAAAAATTTCAGTGAAAGGGTTTGAGGTTAGTATATACAAATTATAGTATTTGAAAGATTTTTGTAGTTTGTTTTATTTACTTCTTTTTTTAAATATCTTTTAGTTTGTTTAGATAATTTAACTAATTTTAAATTAAATTTATTAATAGCTTAAATATTTTTTTTTTCTCAACTTTTAATGTTTAAGAAATATTTTTTGGGATGATTTCAGATATTGGTTACAATCCAATCCAAACTGAATTGAGAAGATCAAATTGAATCCAATCCTAATTAGTAAAATTCAAATAAGATTTATGAAAATAGTACCAAAATCTAAAAATACGTGTCAATCAAAATAAAACCGACGAAGTCTCAAACGTCCAGACCTATGATGATTTAGAATACCAACATTTGTATTCATCATTTTCTAATCGATAAATATTGTAGTATTGCAAAATGTTAAAAACCATTTAATGAATAAATATTAGTATAAAAATTTCATCCCGCGCATGCGCGCGGGTTATCATCTAGTATCTTATTAAGAAACAAGATGAGCTTGAGATATCCAGCATGTTCAATTGCTTCAGAGAAACATGTTTCGTCTACCACCACGATCTTGGATGTCTCTAGTGTGGGGTCGATATTTTCAGCCGTTTTTGCTGATAAAATGTTATATTATATTGTTTGTGTAGCTGATTTGTTATTTCTGGAAAAGGGAATGTCTAACTTCTGAATGGGTTTGAGCTCTAGACTTTGAATTTCTAATGCTGTGGCTTGCATCAAGACCTTTCTTAATGCTGTGGCTTTCACTCTAGACTTTGGATTTCTAATGCCGTGGCTTGCATCCAAGGCCTTTCCTGATGCTCGTACATTGGCCAAATTTCAGTTAGAATCCTCATGTTTTTTTTTTTTGGTTTAGTCACAAAGGTTCTGTACCATAGTTCATAGATAAACTAGGATTTTTTCCAGGTGCTAGGACTTAACTACCTTAGAGAGGTTCTTGAAGCAATGATCCAAGGTCTAGTCAACTAAAAATTCCATCAAGTAGAGATTTATTACCACTAAAAATGGGATTACTTTCGTTTTTTTAATAGGAGAGTTGCACAATGGGAGATGCTGATCCTGAGGGGCATATACTATGAACAAAGTTTAAGAAAATGCTTCAGACAGTCAAAAGTATAAAGGACTGTGTAAATCAAGAAGAGTCTATAATTTGAATTCAATATTACAAATGCAGGAAGATTCAGGCAAGAACATGTTCTGTAAACACATTTCAGGAGATCTCTAGTTACATGAATCTAAGAATATTTTCTCCTAGTTTGTGTGGTTAGTTTCTCCTAGTCACTCCATGAACAAAAAGGGTAGAGAGAGAGAGAGAGAGAGAGAGAGAGACCTGAGAAGCTATTGCTACTCAGCTTTTGAGCTTCAGCTACAGTTTCATTTGTATATGCTTAAGGTTTGGTTTAATAGTCTTTCTTCCTATATTCAGGCCTTGAATAGACTTCCGGATGATCATTGAGACCACATTAAACCGAACCAAATCGAAACAATCTATAGCCAAATGTATTCCGTACTAGAACTATAAATACAATCATGTGTGGAGCCAATCTGTCTTCACATGCAATTGCACGTGTGACCTCTGCAACTGCAACTTCATCTCTCAGATTTTTATTTATTAATTGTATCAATCTAAGTCTACAGCTCGATTTGATCCTCTTCCCAATGTCAAATGCTTCATTGGAAGAATAACCATACTCATGCATCTTAATATTTTTATGTTCATGTCACATTTCGTAATAAAGAAGATTTTATAGTGAAGTTTCAATCCTTGTTATTTTATTCAACGATATGTGACAATAACAGAAGACTAACCATCATCATCATAATCAATTCATGACCATTGCATAAGTTGAACAACAAGAAAGTGGAAAACTTTATAGATAGGAATGCGAGTTTTCATAAAAGCTTCTGCAGTAGAAAATTTACAGATTGCTACACCTAAACACAGCTCAAATTTTCAACATTCATGGCAGGGAGCATGGACAGAGAAACAATCAAACAGATGAAACATTAATCTTCCATTTTAAGCTTTCTACAAATTTAGTTTCTATCACCTAGAACAGCACCCACCTTTATTGGGCTCTCCCTCGGATGGAATCACAACTTTCTTGCCATTGCTAAGTGAGGCAGGATCTTGCTTGTTCAGCTCCTGTGAGCTCATCACTTTCCTGCTCAGTATGTTGTATATCTCCTTCACGACCGTCTCAAACGCAGCTGCCACGTTTGATGAGTCCAACGCTGATGTCTCCATAAAGAAGAGTCCCTGCGCTTCAGCCAACGCCTTCCCTTCCGCTGTTGGCACTTCTCTTATATCCTTCAGATCCGACTTGTTCCCCACCAGGATCGTCACAACGTTCATATCAGAGTGCGCTGCAACAGTTTTGATTATTTAGTAGAAGTTAAGAAATAAATGAATGTGTGATGTTACTTACTGTGCAGTTCGTTGAGCCATCTACCAATGCTTTGAAAAGTCTGAACTCTGCTGATGTCGTAAACCAGAAGAGCTCCAACAGCACCTCTATAATACGCAGAAGTAACTGCTCTGAAACGTTCTTGACCTGCTGTGTCCCATATCTGTGCTTTGATCTCTTTTCCGTTAATGTCCATCTTCTGTGTCTGAAACTCCACCCCAATGGTCGACTTCGAGTTGGGATAGAACTCATCCCTAGCAAATCTTGCGAGTAAATTTGATTTCCCGACTGCAGAATCACCTATCAGAACAATCTTAAAGAGGTAGTCTTCACTCTTGTTGTCCTCGGAATAAAAAGCCATCTCCTCGTTGTTTTCTACAGTTCACACTTCTACAGAACCATATATTTACCACTGCCTTTTAGCCCTGTCTAAGAACAGAACAAAACAAAGAGGAAGAGAGAAGTCAAAAAATAAGTAGAGATCTAAGAGTTAACATTTGCAGACGCAAGGGAATCTTTTTAAATCACCTGTCTACTGAGGTAGCTTCCTAGAAGGTTCTGTGGAGCTGCAAAGTTGACTAAGTATAAGCTCTTTCACCGCCTAAGAAAGTCTGTCACAAGCTAAAGGATTCAGCATATAAACGCATTTTGGATCTAGAGTAAAGCAGGCACAGATACAAGTTACCTCATCTGAAAGTTGGATCTGATTCTTTTACAAAACTCCTACAGTAGATATTACTATACAAGATAAGTAGCGTGTGTACGCCTATAAAACAACGAGTAAAGAAAGCCAACTTTAGTAGCGTGTGAGGTCACCCTGAGAATATAAGTTAAAGTCGGTGGATAGTAACTGTTCACCAGGTATGAAAGCCTCCAATAGGAAAGCAGACCAATATTCTCTTTTATCAAAAAGAAAAAATAGAATTCAGACAGAAGAGACAAGTGTGGGACCTAAGCAGCCAACACTACTCATCAGTGGATCACACAAAGTGCAGTTAACACACTGATGGAAATCAAAGCAGTCTTGTCATGAGGTTCACACTTAAAGATGAACATCGTAAATGATTGTTGACAGGTAATGAATCTTCAGATAGGAAATGATAAAGTGAAGGGTAGGCCACATTTTTTCAGAAAATATATTAATAAAGAGAATTATAGACACAAATACACAAAAATCGAAACTTCACCTTAAAAAAAAAGCTAAACAAAGTATAGTTTCCCATTTTGAGGGTTCTCTTCAGACAAACTGAGCGTGTAATGTAAAATCAGAGTAAGAAACAGAGTTCCAAAGTTACAGGAGAGATCACAAGACATTCTAAGACAACACACATACAAGAAGACGCTGATGGTCGAAAATTCATAACTTTTACAGACCCATTTTACATAATGTAACAAAAAAAGAACAACATATGTAGAGATAATCACAAGTGGGGGTAAACATGTGTTTCTCCTCTTTGTGAAATTGAGGAAAAAGAAAAAAAAATTACCTTTGTTGAAACAACAACGATTGATGGATCGAGAGAGGAGAATCACAGTGAGATCCCCAGAGTGGAGTCGATCCGGGGAAGAAAAAAACTGAGGGATTCAACGCTTCTGCTATGAAATCAAAAGAGACTTGTTGCAATTAGGCAGAAAAGAGACCGGAAAGTTTCCATTTTCGTTAACGACAAATGGGCCGAGAAAAAATAATATATTGGGCCTTTAATGAGCCCATTTTACTTCTTTTATCATTTGGCCTACGTGTCTTTCTTAACCGTCGTTTAAAGTTAGCAATTACCATCTTTAAATAGTTTTACATATAAGTAGGGGTTATTTGCTTGGTAGAATTTTGTACCATTTTTCAAATGAAAAATCATGAATGTATTTATCTTTTGTACATTTTTGTGTTATTTGTTTGATGGTACTTAAATCGCATTCCTAACCACGTGTTAAATCTCATATTTTTTTTAAAAAAAATTACCTATAAATTTGTTTTAAATATATATATATATATATATATATATATATATATATATATGTTTTCTTTTAAAAAACTCATAAACAGTGACTTAAACGAATATTTCGTTTATTTAACAGATATGCCTATTAACGAAATAGACTTAAACATCCAACCCTTATAAACTCGTTTATTTTTATATTATAATAAATTGATCACGGGTATTGCATGTTTATACTAAGCCTGTTTAGAGCATCTTTAATGGAGAGACGGTGGATCCGTCTCTTAAATTTAAATTTTTTTTTGTTTGGTTTATTTGATCAAAAAATTGAAAAGGAATCAATTGCGGACCGCCACGTATCGTGGGACCTGCAAAACAGTGCGAAAAATCCACAGCATATGTCTGTTATTTCGGGACAGTGGATAATGTATTTTTTATTTTCTGGGTTCCACCAATGGTTTTCCCCCTAAAAACTCTGTTAAATACAAGCATTAAAGAATGCTCTTAGACCCCATGCATTTTAACATCTCTATATAGAAGCTCTGAAGACTATGCACTAATCCCTTTTGGGATTATTTTTGGACAATCCTTATCTGTGTACTTAGAGCATCTCCATCAGTGAATCTGATAGGTGGGGATTCATAGAAAAAAAAATTAGTTTTTTTTTGTTTGCTTTTTCTGAAAGAAAAAAAAATTAATAACGGACCAATCGCGGAACGTCACGTGGTGAATCTCGTGTGAATCGGATTTATCCCGACGAACCTCCAAGACCGGGTTCACCAAAATCAACATTTTTTTTTTTTTTTTTTATCCGCGTGTGAACCTCCCTCACGAACCTTCAATACGGATGCTCTCAGAGTCTTTAGCTCAACTTGAGCGTAACAACACCTACAAACTTAATGGACACATGTGGCTGGTAGTCATTGGAGCATTGACCGGGAAGAGCATTATCAGGCCTAGGCATTATTGTTTTATTAGAACCAACGACTCCACATGCACGTGATTAGCAGTTGATATTTTGGTCGCGACACAAATATAAAACCTACCCCTAACCAGCTAACCCAACCAAACCACTTTCATTGGATCTCTCACAAACTCGGTTTTATCTACACTGGTCAAAAACTCATAAAGAAGATTCTCTATATGGTGGATGTTTGGATTAAATTACAACAATAAAACGTATGCTTAAATTAAATCAGGGCACATCCGTACAGCTTTACTAGTTGGATATGTTTTGCTCTTTATTATGCCACAAACCCTATATACGAACCTTTATATTTTATTGTGTTCATAATTTACCACATCAACGCTAGCTTATAGTGAAACGGCTAGAACATAATCCAATGAGATATTATTTTCGGTCTTTGAATTTAAAAGGTTAATATACGTAGATTTTATGAATATTAAATTGTAAGTAACAGAAGGTATCTGCTTATACGGTTATACCTAACTAAATAAAGTAATGTTAAAATGCATACCGATAAACGGAATTGTGAAGAACAAAGGGGATAGTTACAAAAAAAAAAAATGAACAAAGGGGAAAAACACGAGAAATAAGTTAGTAACAAAGTTGGTGAGAGGCAAGCGTGAACTAGTTTTTGAATGTGAAGACGACCCCGACCTATTCATTTTTCCACCAATTATGTAATTACTATCATTTATACTATTTTCATTTTTCCACATTCTAACATTTCTTGGTGTTTACTCAAGAGAATTAAAGACTTAATGAAGGCAAACATAACACGTCAAGCTTGGAAATTGATAACTTCATTTACAATGTTTCTATAATCTATATTTTGATATATAGGTCAAACTCACAATTGATAGATGAACAAGAAAATAAAACATAGATACTCTTAACTATTAAAAAAGGTCAAGTGTGAATGTGTAATGAAGAGAATTAAAGATTCTTTATTAGACAGATTAACTAACAAACCTAACCTTACTTGTCCCACTTTCTTTTCTTACTTAATCTCCTCCTTCTCTCTTCCCCTTAACCCATACTCATCTCATTCTTTTCTTTTCTAGTATCCATGGCCAAATCTTCAACTCTCCTCCTATGTCTCTCTGTTTTTATCTTCATCATCTCCCAATCTGCCTTGGCTCAAACATGTTCCAACTACAAATTCTCCACCAACACTCTCTTTGAGTCTTGTAACGACCTCCCTGTTCTTGATTCCTTCCTCCACTACACTTATGATTCCTCTTCCGGCAACCTCCAAGTCGCTTATCGCCACAAAAATCTCTCCCCCGGGAAATGGGTCGCATGGGCCGTTAACCCCACAGCCACCGGTATGGTTGGAGCTCAAGCCATTGTGGCTTATCCACAATCAGACGGCACTGTTAGGGCTTTCACTTCACCTATCAGCGGCTACCAGACGAGTCTACAAGAAGGTGACCTGAGTTTCAACGTCTCAGAGTTATCAGCCACTTACCAAAACAACGAGATGATCATCTTCGCAACTCTGAGTCTTCCACTTACAAACGGTGGAAACATTAATATTGTGTGGCAAGATGGGTCTCTTTCAGGGAACAGTCTCCTGCCTCACCCAACTTCTGGCAATAACATCCGCTCTGTTTCCACAATTAACGTCATCTCCGGTACATCTGCATCCACCTCAGGAGGAGGAGCAGGAGATTCCAAGCTTAAAAAACGCAACGTGAGTTCATCATTTTCAGTTTCTCTTTTTTTTTTTTTTTTTTTTTGCCAGAGCCGGTTCTGGACATAGCAGATGAAACATTCGCTTATGGCCCAAAATATTAGTGGTTTATTTGTACTCCATCCGGTTTTTAATAATTTGTGTGCACAAGTCTAAAACGCCAAAACGGTTAGTAAAAAGAAACGGATGGAGTATAAATGATTTTAGGGAAAATATATGTTTAATAATTATTTTAAGTCCCATGAATCTTAGAACCTGCCATGTTCCTTCCTGTTTGAAAAATCTTAGTTTAGTTTCTGATAATGATTGCAGATACATGGGATATTGAACGCAGTGAGCTGGGGAATAATGATGCCAATAGGAGCAATCATTGCTCGATACTTAAGAGTCTCAAAATCAGCAGGCCCTGCTTGGTTCTACCTTCACGTTTCCTGCCAAGCTTCTGCTTATATCATTGGTGTTGCTGGGTGGGCTACAGGTCTCAAACTTGGCAGCGAATCAGAAGGGATTCAGTTCAGCACTCACCGTGCCATCGGTATCACTCTCTTCTGCCTTGCAACAGTTCAGGTAGGTTTTTAACCAAAACTGTTTATGAATTCTCAACAAAAATGTTGTTGCGTAACTCAATTTCTTGTGGTACATGTTAGGTGTTTGCTATGTTCTTAAGACCCAAACCAGACCACAAGTACAGATTCTACTGGAACATCTACCACCACACCGTCGGCTATACCATTATCATCCTCGCAATAGTGAACATTTTCAAAGGGTTGGACATCTTGAGCCCTGAGAAGCAGTGGAGAAACACTTACACAGCTATAATCGTAACGCTGGGTCTAGTGGCGGCAGTGCTGGAAGGCTTTACTTGGTTTGTAGTTATAAAAAGAGGGAAAGCAGAGGAATCTGCCAAGACATCTCAGCTTGGAAACGGTGATAGGTCTCAGTATGCTTAGAGAAGTAGTTGATGTATTAAGAGTATAGAGTGAAATTTTCTGGTTATTTATCAGCTTTCAGTTGGGATTTCATATATGTATTGTATTACCTAGATTGAATTAATATATTTGATGTTTAATAGTTGTTGAGGTTGAACCTGTGAATACGAGGTTTTTGCGTAGAATTTAAAACGCGTTTAACAAAACCATTTTCTCATCGACAGTGAAAAGTGATTTCATAATCAAATGAATATATTGTCTACTGAGAATGTAAGAGAAATTAAAGAAATGTTTTACCTAATAAAGAAAACAACAACCTTTTGATGTTTCAAAAATGTCTTTAAAAAGGGAAAGAAGGAAGAGATATCTGTTGGTTGGTTCTCAAGCAAGATCTCGCGGCTCAAGGGCTGCAATTTCTCTCAAGACCTGACTTTTATCTGCTTCAAACCTTTCGTCCTCTGTCAAACCAAACCAAACATATATAAAGGAGGAGAAGGATCAAATACAAAAGCAAGCGTGTGATCACTTGACAGGACTCTCATACCTTTGTCTGGTTTCAAATCAGCCAACAATCTCAGAAGCTTGCTTTTGTTTGCTACCAGAATGTTGATTATATCAGCAGGCTTGTTTTGATTCGCTGCAAATAGCTGCAAAACATTGATAATAATCTCAGTACAATCACGTTGCACCAACATTTAAACAAGCAGAACAATCAACGTTATTTAAGATACAAGAATTAGACCTTGAAAACATGAAAGGCTTCTATTTGTATGCTCTTGCTTGCCTCCTGTATTTCAAAAGGGGTTAAGTTTATTTCCCAAATATTATCATCAAGAACAAAAGATTTGAGTATTCATACCCTCAGAAGATTCATGAGAATCCTCAAGTTATCCCTTGAGCTCACATATCTCGTCATCACAGCTGAATTTGATCGATCCAGTAATATATCACCCAACAGCTGTTTAACGTTTACACACAACAGTAAATCAGATTAATCACCCACTAACATCGTTTCAATGTTTGTAGACTATAGTTTACCATACCTTAATAGCTTGCCGTCTGGTTATATAATTACTTGATTCAAGAAGCTTTGAGTTGTAGTCTGTGAAAAACTGCAAACCAAAAAAGTTTGAGAATTATACTCTGTCTAATGCAGAAGTGTTGAACCATATTTTTTTTGACTTTGCAGACAAATCAGAAGGCTATTATTAAGGAAAACTTACCCAGTCTTCATTCTTGGTGAGAAACTCGGCAACAGTAGACTTATGCCTTGTTAGCAGTTCCTATGAAAACAAATGAAAGGGTTGTAATTGTGATTGAATGTTTGAAACTTAGTAGTACCAGCAGGAAAAGATCAAAGTGAGAAAATGCAACTTGTTAGAACCTTAAAAGTTGCAGCAGCATCGGCAGCAATATCGAAATTAGGAAGCTGTATAAAATCGAAGTACTTCTTCACATGCTCCGACTCCAAAACATATCTGAATGCAAGGAAATCAAACCCATTGCCATTAACATATCTGCCTCACAGGTTGTAAACTGAAGAAAATATGAAATGATCTACTCACTTGGCAACAATCTGATGACGGATGCACTCCCTAAACATAGCACCATAATGCAAAGCCAAGTCCATATTCTCAAAGCTGACACAAAAACATTGAAAGCTTTACATAAATGGTATAAAAACGAGAAATCTCCAAATCCGGAAACTACCAACTTGCATAATATGATCCCAACACAAATAACATTAACACTCACCCTTCCATCAAAACATTCATGAGGTCAAGGTTAGCTTCCAGATAATCAGAAGCAATCAACCTTGAATTCACTTGCTGCCTCTGCAGATTTGCAACAAGCTGTGTAGCATCTTTCCTAGTCTAACACCAAACAAATAAAAACAAGATTTTTCACAGTTAGATCATATAGCCTAATGAATGTCTCAATCTAACATATACAAGATTTTTCCTGAATCTAAATCTCAAAAATGAAAGTCTTTCTAATTGTTACCTCTAAATTAAGCTTAGGGAGACAAGTGATCAAGAGACGTAGAGTATCCTCTCTAAAGAACTCTTGAGTCAATTGAGCACAAGCCTCAGCAACAGGCTCAGCCTCGCTGTTTCCATAGAGAATAGACTTCATATCACGAATGTTCCTGCTTAGCTCCGCCATCTACAAACACAAGAACGAATCAAATGCAACAACAAATCCATAGAGAGAGCAAACGGCATTGTTAATGTAATAAAAGCAAAGACCTTTTCTTCGCGTTTGGATTCACGAAGGTCAGGCAAGGACTTGGATCGATCAGCGTAGAGGAGGAGATCACGGGTCTGACGCACGATGTCAGCAGGAGTGCGAGGCTTGGACTTGAAAAGACCCTTCATCTTCGCCGCACCGCCGCCGCCGTTATCGGAATGATGATCCGACGGTTCGTGAGCTGAAGAGAAGGTTAGGCTTCCGCTAAAGCGCTGCAACGAGAGCCTCCTCAATGGTGGTGAGGAGGAGGAGGCTTCACGTGCAGCACCTCCTTTTGACACGCACGACCCTATCTTTACCCTCTTTCTCTTCTCTCCCCCTTTTTTAGATTTGGTGAAAAAGTAAAAAAAGAAAAGGTTTTTTTTTTTTTTTTTTTTAATTTATGTTGATGTGACTGTCTGTCTGTTTGTCTGGTTGATTCCTATATCTCCTCTCCTGTCTGGTTCTTTCTTTCTTTCTTTCTTCTTTCTCTCACTTGGGATGTGTATCCATTTTTAGAGTTGTGCTTCTGTGCTTGAAAGAGAAAGATATCTGTTTTTCTCTCTTCTTAGTCTTTCTTTCCTTGATTGTGATTTTCTAGTCAAATAGGATTTGACCCTTTTGTATAATGGTCATTTTCAACAGATTTTTACCATTAAAATAAATATAAATAATTAAAAGTCAAAAAGAAATATGAAGTTTCTTTTGAGAAATACATTATTCACTTCCCATAATAGTTCAATAATGTTTAAAAAATAAAATACAGTGTAAAACTAATATTTTTTTTGGTAAACTCACATGGTTCCTAACTAGTGCTTTAACGATTATCTAATGGTTGTATCATCTAAAGATTTATTCAATTAAAATTGAAATAGCTTAATTTATCTTCGGAAAACAAGATACTACAACAAGGAAGTAAAAGAGTGAACAATACAAGAGGTACTGCCTATTTCTGTAAAATATTACTGCTTTGTTGATGCTTCATGGAAGAAGGCTAATGAAATTGGAGGAATCGGATGGTCCTTGCACACTAAAGAATGGGATCCGTAAACTTCAAGGAGACTCTTCAATCAAGCCAACAAACTCTTCTTTGGAGGCAGAAGCAGTTGCCTTGTCAATAGCTGTGCAGCAGATGAAAACACTGGGATATGATCAAGTTGCTTTCATTGGGGACTGTAAGCCAATCATTGATGAGTCAAAATCAGTATTGCACTGAAGAAACCTTCACCAAGGAATGTATCACGGTGGTTTCCTCGCTGATACGTGATATTTATATGATGTCAAAGTCTTGCACGTTTTTTTTGAAACACCAAAGTCTTGCACGTTTACTTTCCACTATGTCTATGTTACAAGATCTTTGCTTATGAACGTTGATGTAAAATCTAAAGAAGCAAGGAAAAGGAACCAACAATAACAATATGTAATCACTAGGTTTTCGTAATAAGAAAGTATGTTGACAAACAAAAAACAAGGAAACCAACACATGTTGGTCTAGTGGCAATGGAACTCCGGCTGGAGTGCCTGTCCTGGGTTCAATCCGCATTGGCCACCAGGAAATTTACATGCGGACTTACTCTGGCGCCCGAGACCGAAGATCATTATATGTGAGCCACATGGTGACACCCTAACAGTGTCTTTGCTCGCTTCGGTCTCTAGTCTGTACCACTACGGTGGGATAAGGACACTTGGTTATAGAAAAAAAAAACAAAAACAAGGAAAAAACATAATTTCTATGAAACACAAAAACCAAAAACAATTCCACAAAAAAATTAAAATAAGCCAACTTAAACAAACTAATAAATTGGAAAAATTCAATGGTTTAATGGTTTAACTAAAGATTTATTAATGATTTTCTATGAGGGATCAAAGTCAAATTCAAGAAAACACTGAAATGTCGAAAAATTAATTAATGGAGAGAAAACTTAGAACCTTTATTGTAGTACAAAGAGTATCTTTAGACATTTTTTTCCTAGGACTATTCAGGATAGTGCATAAAACTTGAATCTTTATAAGCTGGCTAGAATTGTTGACTACCGAATTTCATGTAATATTTTTCACAATTTATAATAGAATAATATTTTAACATTAAAAAGTTAAAAGTAATGATGAGTTAACATAAATGAACTGATTTAGAAGGATTTGGTTGAAAGTGGGTAACCATAAATCTAAGCATTAATTATGAATCAACTCGTTCACCAAATAAATTATTTTTGTGATTTCTTTCCAAAAACATTTTGTACCATTAATATGAACTATTTATAAGAAAAGACCTAGTTCTCGCCGATCTACAAAGAAAAACTACCCATATATTATTTGTTACATATAAAAAGCAAAAAAATGACAAAGTTTTCAAAGAGATATTACAATGGACACTTTAGGGCAGGTTTATCGGGAATTTAGAGGGAGTATCTCCTGTTAAAAAATTAAAATTATGAAAAAGCATGTGAGATGCTAAGAAAAAATTTTAATTAGCGAAATTTTTATAAATAGGTTTAGGCATGCGCATATTATCCATAATCCAAAACCGAACCCAAACTCGAACCAAGAACCTGAGTCTGACCGGTTATGGATCCATTAAAATATTTGACCGGTTTTGATATGCTAATACTTTGGTTACTAGGTATGGATCCGGTTTAATACGAAACCTGAATTAGAATCCAAAATAACCGAAATGTATATATTATGTAGATAAGTATATACATGTATTACACAAATTCGATAATTTCCAAGACACGTTTTGTTATTTCCAAAGTTTGAGAGACATGTTTCTTAGTTATTATCAATTCATCTTACTTAACAAAGCTTGTGTTGTTACGATTATATATTATGTGAGTTTTCATATTTCACTTATCACTGTGATCAGTTTGTAAACATTTGTCTAATGTTATCATTTAATAACATAGAATGCATGACAATTTCAGTAATTTCTACATATTTAAAAATCTTCAGATCTTGTTCTACTTTGTTGGCGTCATTAAAACGAGTATCAATAGATCAAATCTCAACAATTGTGATTAATAAATTTAAATTAAGTGTCTTATGTTTATTTTTTCTTTGAATTATACTTCAGTTGATCCGAAACCGATACACTAAAACCTGAACCCAAATGATATGCGGTAACTTCAGTATAATCCGAACCCAAACCTAAATCCGATGTGTTATATCTGATCCCGATCCGAATTCAAGAATGGGACCTAGGAGGTGTTACAAAAAAAGAAACGATATCCGATATACACGACCCGAACACGAACGAGTACCCGAACGCCTAAGCCTCGCTAGATAGGTTCTAAAAATTGTCACCAAGTTGTTGGCTTAATTTTATAAAAAAATGAAAAAGAAAATTTATCATTAAAAACTAAATTTTCTTTTTCTGAGAAACTTTAAGGGCGAATTTGTGAAATAATAAAAAAAAAAACTAAACTTAGATTTCTAGAATAAAAGTAAAGAGAGAAATAGGAAGAGAGTGAGAGAAGAGGATTTTGGTTACTTAGCTAATTTGAGTTTTTTGAAGGTGCATTTTCCCAAACTTTAACAGTTTGTTACCATGAGGCTATCCTTACAACTTGTGTCCACATAAACATACAGCTGGAAGGACGCAAACCAACAAGTTTGCGAGGAAGAGGTGAAGGCCTCGCCCCACCAGAGCGACATGAGATGATAAGAATGCATTTTATGACCTGTTTTATCCTGACTTACTGGATCAACGCTTTTTGGATTGATCATGAACCAGTTAGTGGATTGTGATAGGTTCTTAAAGGTAACATGTGATTCAACATGCTTTGAGGATGCGATAAAAGTCTATCAACACTTTACATAGAATTGGAGAGATTTATATGAGCCATGGGCAGTTAGAGCTAGAGAATGATAATTTTGTTAAGATTAGCGATAGATTGCGCCGTTTTACTGAAACAGATCGAGGATCCAGTAGATATGACATACCTATATTTCTTTAACTTGCTTAGAAATCAATTTGTATTTTACCTTATCTTTCACCCTGAGATCTTATTTTTCTCAATATAAGTCATAACATGCCGGTAGCAACAGTTCTTCGAGATAATTGTTATATCAACCAAATATGGTTTAATATGAATTATTCGACAAAAAAATTACCAATCAACTCTCAGCAGTTAAATATGATGTAATGAAAAATGTGAAGAAACTAGTAGTTGAATAGATTAAAGGGTTATTTAGGTGAATATACAAATTGTAGGTGGAATTTGCAGATCTGTGCAATATTTTTAATAATTGGCGAACCAAGTAATTTAAGGGATGGGTTTCCTATTCTATCATCGCGATGAGACAGCCATATTATTTAGATATGACCTGCTACCGGGAAATTTGTCAGATTTTGACTTTTATTCATAATGAAGATGAAACTAAAACAAGAATTAAAACCGGATACAGTTAGGATAATGGAGGATATAAGAGCTTCAAACCGAATACACATTTAATAATTATATGGAGAAGAGGGATAAGATATTTTACAATTTATTGGTCGGAGATGTTATTCCTCTAACTGTTTTGATTTATTTTTTTGCTTTGATCGTAATCAATTGTTTATATTTAACTGAAATGGTTTTTGGTCGGTTAAACTGATTTGTTTCTGAAATGGTTTTAGGCCGGTTAAATATAGAAATGTGGGCTTGAAATAAATTTTAGAAATTTTTGAGAAATTTAAAAAGAGAAATCCATGGAAATTCTTATAGCCTTTTAACTATATTAAACCGTATCGGACTCAGATATAGACTTGTTGTCAGTTTAGGCATGCACGCTTCCGTAATAATTATGATATGTTTACATTTCCAAAATTAACCATTAATTTTTTTCTTCTTCAAATAAACCTATCAAGTTGTATGAAACCTTTTCATACACATCTCCCCTCCGACTTTTAAACTTCACAAAACCCCTGAACTTATTTTGAAAAATGGACTCATCTCACATCGTAGATCCAGAAGCCAATGTTACGGAAGCTGTGGTTCCGATTCCGAAGATGATGTTTGCAGGGAGTGAAGAACCGGTTGGAGTCAGGGTTCTTACCTACCAGTCCTCCAGAGCCATTAATCACATACTTGATTCGCTCGAAGATGATGAGATCCGAACATTACGCATGTCTCCCTTTGGCAAGACTGTTGAAATCGGCTAAAAACCAGGTTTTTTGGGAAGATTTGTTAGATACATGTTATCTAGGCAACTGAAAGTGGGGAAAAAAGAATGAAGCTTTGTTTCGGTTTTCTGGGAAACCGATTAGGTTTTCACTTCGCGAGTTCGCCATTGTAACAGGTCTCAACTGTAGGGAATATCCACAAAAATCTAATTCGAAGTCAAAGATGAAGATAAAACAGAAATTGGCCTGAATTATTTGGAAAAAGGGAGGATCTTCGGGATTCCACAGCATTGAAAATGCTTAGAAGAAAAACGGTTACATATAAAGAAGTAAGGATAAAGTTGGTTTGTCTTGCGATTATGTCTTCAGTTCTACTCTCTACTAACTTGAAGATGAAGATGATTAAAAAACATGCAGAGGCTATGGTAGACCTGGAGGAGTTCTTTTCCTTTCCGTGAGGTCGACTTGCGTTTGAAATGCCTATTGGAAATATAAAGCAGAGAGACGAGGTGTCCTTATCAAAGCATACAATAGTGCTTAAAGGTTTTGCCTTGCCACTCCAACTAGTTATCATAGAGGCTGTACCGGCTTTAACTGACGTTGTTTTGGAAAGTTTCTCATCTTCTGAATCGTATAGCTGCGATGATGGAGATGATACCATTCAGAAGAAGAGAAAAAAAAAAAACAGACATTGAGCCTTAGTCATGCACGTGAATTAGACAAAAAAAACCGATGTAAGTGTCGTCTTTGCAGTCCTCCGTAATACTATGATTATACAGCTGTCTGATATTTTATATGTGCACTAATAACATAACGTTGGTTATATGCTTCCACCAGGTTTTAGTAAGAAGCATAATCCCTGAAGATCCAGATGGGCCCATAGTAGCTGCTACACTTGTATGGACAGACGAGGTCATCGACATCAAAGTCGATAATCTGTTAAAGCTCATAACACAAAGTTATCATTTCACCCCTCAGAAGTTAGGCGCTACCAAATTTGACGTTGAAAGAATGGGTGAGATACCCAAAGTTGGGGGGAAGCAGAAGACGAAAACTAAACCACTTACACACAAGGAAACATACCAGGATGAACGTATCACATCCATTTTTCG